TTATTGTTAGAAACTATTGAGATTTCTCATTGAGTCACAGTAAATATACTGGAAGTACCTGCACTTGTATCTTTGAGACTTTTTTTGGCCGAAGATCAAAAGGAAAACAATAGTTCCATATTGACCTTTTGCTAATAATCAGGCACCAATTGAAATTAGATAAAATATTTTTTGTGAAATGTAAAAATTGTATGAATTGAAATAATTGAATAATTGTAATATAGGATGTTTATTTGCATTGAGGGTGCATTCTATTCACCTTTTTTTACTTATCTGAATCTATTTGAACTTATTTTAGTTATCAATTAAACTTTGGTAGTCCTGATTAACCCTTATCACAATTTATCTGAACTTATTTTTCCTGAACTTATTTTATCTTAACTTATTAAGTCCTGAAATAAGTGGAAATAAGGTGAACAATACAGAGCCTGATTCTGAGCCAGAACGCCTGAAATACAATTATTAATTAATCACTAATTTTTTATGTAAAATTATGTACTGTAAGGTAACAGTTCATAAAATTCAAAGTATACATCTTTCTATCTAGCAGATTGAACCACAAGATGTGTATCCAAGCATAATCTCTTCTCTTCTAAATACGTGTGCACTAAGCCACTGTTCTATATTTTCCTGAGCATGTTGCTTGGCTGTTTGTCTTGTCCATGGCTTTGAAGCTTTTGCTAAGCATTAGCGCGACAAGTTTGATCGAGCAACATGGCTGTGAGAACTAATAATCTAAATAATATGGGCACTTTTTTTTTTTGAATAAATATATGAGATCTTGGTTCTTAGGCTTTAGCAAGTCTGTGAAACCAAATATCATCTACAGTAACTCGGTAAGCTCATAATGCACATTTTAAAAAGGAAAAAAAAACGTATGTTAACAACTTAAAGTACAGAGATCACATTATTATAAGATTGTATTAATATTCTTTTTTTACAGAGTATTTATTATTTTAACAGAAGATTGTATTGATTATAACAAGGTTCCAATTTAATTGTAATTATGTTATATTGGTTATATAAGCAAAACCTACTGCTTCCTTACAACAATGTCGTTGTAGTATAGTGGTAAGTATTCCCGCTTGTCACGCGGGTGACCTGGTCTCGATCCCTGGCAACGGCGTAATTATTTTTAATCTATCTCATTGTTGAGTTTACAAATAATAAAAACAATCTAATTAACTCCTTGAACAGTTTTGTTAATTTAAGAAATACAATGAATAATAAAGCCGGTTTGATCCCGGCAGCAACAACGTAAATCAAGAAGTGGAAAAAATAAAGGGAAGCATAAAGGAGATGATTCCAAGTATCAGGCACACCAGGAAGACACCAATGACTACAATCAGGAAGTCTATGTCTACGAATTCCGTAAACTCCAGGATGTCCATCTCTTCTTAATTGAGAAAGTGGTGTTACTCTTAACAATTCTACTGGCTTTTCCATTTTCTTAATCACCTTTTCTACTATCCTGTCTGCTGGGTGTTCTTCAACTACTCCATTGTTTGTTGCTCCGAGTAACGGTCGCTTTACTCCTATACATGTTCTTGCATTTGGAGCTGTCCAGTTAAGGGCACTGCAACACATACAATACAACTATGATCAACATGTATAAAGGTATATGTTGCGTAATTCAATAGTTAGATAGAAAGTCTAATAAAAGCTGAGTTTGCAAGAGAAATTGTCTTACTTCATATGATCAGGGGAGACTCCTTGAAAAAACACCCTGATATCTGAAGAGCTCAAATGTAAGTCTACCCATCTAGTCCATGTCTTCAATCCCTTTTCGTATGCAACGAGTCGGTCCATGTCTTTATACAACTTATTCCCATCTTCAATGAAATCCCACCTGTTTTTTTATCCAAACATACAAATTACTTAGTTGAATGCTAACATTAAAGTGTTGTGCAATACATTAGCAACCAAATTTGATTCAATTATCTCATAATTTTAGGGATATTTGATATGATGATAACAAATACAAACAACTTACCTCAGAAGCTGCTTCAATGGGAGATACAAGAACTAGATTCAACGGAGAACGGCAACTGCGCTTCAATGGAGAACGTTGAATGCGCTTCAACAGAGCAATTCAATGGGTTGGAGTGTTGGACGCCTTGGATCCCTATTAAAAGCCATGACCCATGACCCGCCACAATTATTAATGGGTTAGATCCGTCTAATAAATAAATGGCTGAGTCTTTATACGATGGTCCAATTAAGGGGATGGGCAGAATTTTTAAAGGATTTAGAGTAAATCTGTTTTTAAAAAGTACGGAGTATTAGTTTATCTTAACGCTTTCATTTCTCAAATACTATCTTCACACACCAAAGCTTGTATAATTTGTTTGTAAGTTTTTTTGTTTTTTTAATTTTGAAAACGGCTGAAATTACATTAATTAAACTGAGTTTACAACAAACAAAAGGAAAGTATGGTAACATAAGTGAATTACATGTTATCATGTCTTAAATGTGGTTAGGATGAGTTTTCCTAAAAAAAATGTGGTTAGGATGACTCTTTTGTCGTGGCCATTATGACAAATTAATTGTGTCGTGTGAAGTGTGAACTATGCAATTGTATAGGTAGTGTTACCTGTGCGGTTTTAGCATTAGCTGACGGTCACTTACATTTTATTATAAATACAGTTGCAGATTAGCAAGTGTAAAATTGTATGAGTTAGTTAATTATATGAGTTGGAAATTGATCTGTGTAAAACAGAAAATTATTAGTTAATAACTTTAGAAGTGACAACTTTACTTAAACCCATCTAGATCAACTGAAGAAATTTCCAAAATGCAAGGAGGGATTACATCACTCCACACCCATTGGCCAAACTCACATGGTTGAAAGTAAGTCTTTATGTGCTACATTATTACCCCATTGCCTTACAAAAGACCATAAATCACTAGTAAAATTAGACAAAAAATTAATCTAGAATATCCTTTATAATCAGATGAAAGGAACTGGAGTCATACAAACGCTTCCTCATTGCCTCAATCACCACCAGATTATCACTCTCGATCCTAATGCAGCTCATACCCTTGTGTATGTCTCGCAATCTTCATGCCCTAAAATACCGCTTTCACCTCTGCAATCTTAGTCTCTCATTTTTCACTCCACTACACCGTAGCTCCCCAAAGCACCACCCCCTCACTATTCCTGCAGACTGCACCCAACCCCATCCCCACCTCCCCCAAAACACCAGCATCAATAATAATTTTAACCACAGCAGATGCCGGAGGAGACCTGCCCACAGAGACACTCTTTCCACCCCTCCATTCCCCATGTTATTCAACTTTCCCACCTTTAATCTTCAAATCATAGGCAACAATTTGCTCAACATTCGGATTTTCACCCTCAATCATCCATTTGTTCCTTGCGCCCCACATAGCCCAACACATGGTAATTAAAGTCATCATATCCTCTCCAAAATTACCCAAACAATGTTCCCACCAGTCACCCATACTACAAAGAGAGTGAGACAAAACCATAAAATAATTGCACTTACTCCAAAATCCATTATTCTACTCTGTGGCAAACACCACAAGCTAGTAGCCAAGGCACAAATTAGCTACAAAAAAAATTAGCTTTAAAATCTTATGTGGCCAAAAAAACTAATTTGCTAATTAGCTTACCATTGAAGTTACTCTAATACTTCATCTGTTCCTTTTATTAGATACATTTTGACTTTACACCCTAGTGTCCCAACCAGTCCATCAAACACCCACCCAAACCCTAATTCTAACTCTCGAACCCCACTTATTTGACGAACTCCCACCCAAACCCCAACTCTTACTCTCAAACCCCAATTATGTGGCGAACTCTCACCTATCCCTAACCTAGCCGATCGATCGAACCCACACAACTCCCACCCACCCTAGTCGGCACTAACCTATGACCACCCAACCCTCTACACCAACCCCGACACCCCAATCTTTTTAAAATTTATCATAGTTAAAAATAAAAATAATTTTTTATATTTAAAATTAATATTAAGATATATTTTATTTTTAATTAAGTCAATTCTTATTTAATTGAGAGTTAATTGTAGTATAAGTCAATTAATGACTTGTATGATCGGTCACAAGTCAAATCTAGTACTTAAATTATTAGGGAAATTCTACATGGCGGTCTCATGAATTCAACTTTTCTACGTGGAAGACGAACTCTTATCCAACTCTTTTAAGTGGCACCAAGGTTTAGAAAAATTAACCATAGTGACCTTTTTTAGGTTTATGGCTAATTTGATTTTTTTTTTTATTAAAAATTATTTAAATTATATTTTAAAATAATAAATTTAAAAAAAAAAAAATTCCCGCCACCTATCCCCACCGTCAAACCCTAACCTCACCCCTAGCCTCACCGGAAACCGACCAACCACCCCTCTTACCCATCGAAACCGAACGGCTGGATCTGTACACCACCTTTAACCCATCCCCGACCTCCAAAACCACCAACCCAGCCAACCTTGACCCCCAAAACCACCTAAAGTCACCGTGCGCGCTCGTCGGACTTGTTGGTGGTTTTTGGGATCGGGGTGGCTGGGTAGGCGGTTACGGGAGTCAGGGCTAGGTTAGTTGGCCTTTTAAAAGGCTGGCTGACGAGTTTTGGTGGTCAAGGGGTGCGGCCGGCCAATTTTCGTCGAATTTAGGGTTTCGCGGTGGGGGTGGCGGTGACTTCGTAGTTGTTTTGGGGATCGGGGTCCTCTTTCATCTTGGGGATTTCAATCTGTTGGAGGTGCTGGTGAGAACCTTGTCTAAATTTTGAAGGTTATGAGGGGAGTGTGTAGATCGTCCTCCTCTGTCGCCATTGCCCACCTTTGTGTGGAAGGTTTGTGTTTATTCAAAGGGTCTCCCCGTCGGTGAAACAAGGTCTAAGGACTAGGCCTAACGCCGCTGTCATAAAGGTCATCGGTATTTTTGACCATGACGGAAATGGTAAAGTTAGGGTTAGGGTTTCGTGGGTCCTTGCACTGAAGGGCTAGGTCTAACGCCGCCGTCAAGAGTAGTAAGTGACGAAAACGGTGAAGTTAGGGCTATGGTTTCGAGGTTCCTAGTGTAAGTGGTTTCGGGTTGTCGGGTTAGACGGTGCATTCCTTGAGTTTGTTCCCTTTCTTAGTATGTTTGTTCTTAGTAATTATCAGAGTTTACTTGCCTTAGTTTTTGTTATGGTATGTTTTAGCCCCCTTTGGTTGTTTTCCGGGATATTTAGTTGTTTTGGCTATAGTATTTTGGATGGTTGTGTGCAGTGGGAGTTAAGCCTCTTTGTTAAGGACAGTGGGGTGTTTACAGTGGTAAGAGAGGTTACAGGTGCAGTTGTTGGGGGTTTGAACAAGAAGTTGGCTATGGCTAAGGTGAAATGTGTAAGTTGTTGGAGTGGTATGGGTTTGGTTTCTCTTACCTCGGATGTAATGATTTTTTTGGTCATTATTCCTGATCTTTATTATCTGAAGCAAGCGCCCAAACTTTGTTTTGGGGTTTCTCGAGCCTCAACGTTGTCAAAGCTTTCTTGCCAACAAGGAAAGCTATTGATTGGGAGGTCACTAGTTCAAGTGACCCGTTTGATGACCTTACTTGGTGATGAGTTGATTCCGCCAGGTAAGGAAGTGCTAGCCATGGTCAAACAGTTTTGATTCCCTCCGTTGCTCTCTTCTTGGAGTGTAGTATGATTTTGCTCCTTGGTTTGTAAGAAGTCCCTAATCTGCGACTTATCCGGCCAATTCAAGTTTACTTTCGTCTCTAGTCTAAAAAGTTGTTGCAAAGGCTTTAGTGTTAAAAGCCATATTTTAAGTTTAAGTTCTTGTTTTGTAGATTGTAAACTCTGATTTTATGAATACATTTGCTCTTGTCAAAAAAAAAAAAAAAAAAAAAAAATCTTCTATATTGATAGCAAATCACAACATCCCACAAGTAACAAACCATCCCCCTAATATATAAATTCAGCTATACAATAAACTTCGACAATATTAGAGCAAGAAATAAAAACTCATTGAACCAACTCTAACACAATCAAATAAATCTCCAAATAGATCAACTATAATCATAAATTTCAGTAAAATGCAACCAAAAATTAGAAATATGGGGATGGAAAAGGGTACCAGCTGTAACGAAACACATGTTAACAAAAAAAGAGTAACATCCCAACATCCTCTCTAAAGAGAGCTATCACATTCACATTGTCTATATTGCCTTCATAAACTAAATTACTGCAAGATTTAACAAGTAAAACTAATTTAACAAGAATTGAAGTCAGGCCCTGAACTAGAAAAGTATTCTAGGGGACCAAAAGTTTCATTTAAGTTGTGGGGTGCTGACTGTCACGGCTCCCAGCAATTCCCCTATGTTCCCACCCATGACTGGAGTAATGTTAAGCTGCCTCAGAGCTTCAATGGGTTCTCCTTCCCCTCTGTCCCTAAAAATACAACCCTTTATCTCTTTTGGACACACGGATTTAAAAGAGTATATTATAAATATGGTCAAGTTCGTACTCCGTATATTTTCAATAACACAAGGAGTTAGCAAAGTACGAGTAGTAACTAATCAATGAAGCAAAAACTGATTAACATGGCCATCTAATTCTGATTTAATCCACCCGATTGTGTATCAGCCTACACACAACTACACAAGTAGTAAGGAACATATCAATTTTACTATTTCGACAACACACAAATTTCACCAGTAGCAATCTTCAATTTAGGGGTATCTTCCCCTATAGTTTTTCCAAGATAAATTGAATTCTGTGTCACCTATACAGCAGTTCCAAGATCTAACTCAAGAATCATGTCCTTATTGATTGATAAGTTAGAGATGCAGCAGGCTATAAAAAGCATGAACTCAACAACAACAACATACAACAATAAAAAGCAGCAACAAATAACTAAAGCATCAACCATATAAAGAAAAAAAAAGCAATAAAGCAACAGTGGGAATCAGAAAAAGACATCAACAGCAGCAACATTTCAACAGTAGGTACAGGTCAATAGCAAACAACAAAAGCTAGATAGAAGGAATAGAAAATATTTTATGTGACCTGATTAATTGTGGCACCAGATTTAGAAGATTGCCCATTTTGGTCAAACAAGAAGATGTGGCGCACTAGATGCATCCTTTGGAGCCGATGGAATTGCAAAATCAGGAATGACAAAATTGATCCGAGGGTTAGCATCCCGAAGTTGAGTCAAAATTGCAGTTGTTA